AGCATTTGCAAAGAAAGCAAGAGGAAAAAGAAAGGATAGGCTATAAGAAAACAAAGAAGAAAAATAAATCTATCTAAACAACTAGGACTAGAAAATGATTATGAGTGTGGTTATTTGCAAATGAAGATGACTTGGATGGGTAAGAAGATACGTAACTTTTTTTAAATTTAGATTATTGCCATAAGGAGTATGTGCTTGCCCAAGAGATACAGAGAGACAGAAAGATGGGGTCGGGGGGAAGGGGCAGCTGGTGTCATAGTGGTTAAGGTACTGGACTCCCTTGTAGCTGATCCAGTTCGATTCCTGGACCCGGTGGCTTGAAACTCACGCTGGCATATGTGCATGCATGCCCCAAATCCTAAGAGGATAAATGGAGGAGAAATAATTGTGGTGTGACTATCTCTCCAGGGTGGGGGTGGGGATGATTTCTTGCTTTCTGTCTCTCTGTCTCTCTGATGAACACATGCGTCCTTTGGCAAAAATTTCTCATAAAAAGAAAAAGAGAAGGAAAGTAAAAATCACCCCTCCAGAGGGATGGCCTTGCCACAATCCCCTCTCTCCAGTCTCCCATTGGGATTTTGAGCAGGCACACCCATGCACCTGGCATGTTTTTCAAGCTGTCAGGTTCTGGACTCAAACCAGAGTCAGCCATGTGGAATATAGCACCTTAACCACCACAACATCCAGTAGCCCTGACATATAAGGTTTTAAAGATAGTTTTATTGCCAAATAAACCATAATCTTAAACCAAAAATTCTTGATTATTGAAAGTATGTGTGGCAATCCTGCCCTTATTTTACCACTAAATAGCAGATGGGAGGTTTCAAAATAGTTCCTTGTTTTTCAGATCCAGATGAGCTAGACATCTGTATATTTAATGTGCACAACACTCTAACAAAGAAACTAACGACAATAAGATGCATTTTAACTGATGCCAAGACCAAATGATGCCTTGGATTTGATTCTCAGAGTGAGAAGGTGGATATTACCGTTTCTGTTGGAAAAAGGGGAGTGAGTACATGGTGAACAGTGTGTTGGACTAGTGCTCAATAGTGATATCTAGCAAAATATTTCTGGCTCTCTTTTTTTTTCTGGGCATTCAATGTAACTTCTCTCAGGCTTGGAATTCCTGACTTTCCTATTGAGTGGAGCCATGTGACTAATTCTGGCCAAAAAGCTATAAGAAAAAATGAAATGTGCAAGGTCCTCACTGGTATATTTAATTGCTCATGCAAGGTCCTCCAAAGTTCTTTTAGTTCTGCCACTGAGTCTAGCAATTCCAGAGGGTGAGTCCTTTAGTCTAGATCAAGAGTACAACCAATCTAGAACAAAGAACTGCCCTGATTTACAACAAATATATAATATGAGAAACTAACCTATGACATCTTAATTCCCTGAAATTTGGTAGATAGTCTGTTACTACAGCACAATTTAGCTATTCCTGAGTGATACAAAAATAGAAACTAAAGTTGTAATAGAATATCCTTTGTAGAAAAATTGCTTAGCATCACTACATATTTGATGAGCAAAGCACAGATTACAGATTATGACTCATTATAGATTATGTAAAGTCTCTTTTTGGATTATGATTTAACAGAATCTTAAATTGATATTTGCTATTTCCATTCTCTCAGTACATATGTAGTAGAGAGATATTTTGTAAACAAACTTGTTTATAAAGTTGGCTCATTAATATGCTCGTGTTTGACAGTGGCTCTTACATTTCACTTTGGTATTTTGAATACACATGTCACTAGGCAAAATACATTTAATTTGAATTTGCAAATTTTAAGAATGTTTACCATTTAAAGATACAGTACAATCAATGTGGACACTTTCATATGGGCAATAATATTGAATGAATATGGCTTGAGATATTTGCCAATTTCTTTTGTAGTAGTTCTCTCTGGGAGATGTTCTTTCACATGAAGTCAAAATGAAAGTATGTTTCAAGATCAAGCCTTCTTCTTCCTCAGCTAGATAATCCAGGAAGTAGGTCTCTGTCCTGTACAAGTGCTCTCTGAAAGCTTTACTATTGCTATATCTCTATTCATGAAAATTTTAACTAAGAGACGAATTCTGGAAAGAAGATACCTTGCTTTATGTTGTCTAAGGCTCAAAGACTCAGTGAATTACAGGGCAAAATAAATATCATTTCAAATACATCTGTGCATAGGGACAGGAAAAAAGATTTTATTTCACCATGAATTATAATAAAAGGAAATGGAGCTTGCTAAAAACACATCCACTACAAAACTGTAACAAAGAAGAAAAAAGAATACTATATCTCCAGATTTTATCACTTTAATTCTTCTACAAATGCTATTATTCTGTGATCCTTGCAGAAATGGTGTAATTGGCCCATGTATCTGAGGTGTGGGTGGAAAAATTTTGTATAAATGATGATAGGTAGTGATGTGAAATAATTTAGTTGTTGCTTTACTTTTAGTTTCTTTTTCCATTGTGTCTCAGCTCATAAAAACCTCTTTAAACCTGGTGAAACCTAGGGAAATGAATATGACTGAATTTAGAAACAAAGTTTGCTTTTTTCTTTTACTTTTTAAATTATTTATTTTTTTTATTATTCATACATTAAATCTCTATACATCATTTAGATTGTGAACAGACTTCACCCAGCATGATATATACCTTAGTCCAACCCAGTTGAGACCACCACACATAACCTCGTCAACAGATAAAAAACATTACCTGTGTCCCACAAGTGTCTTACCTCTCCATTTTCCCTCAACTTTCCTATGCTCTTCCCCTCTTACACTCTCTTTCTACTTTGTCTCTAGTGTCCATTACAATTTTTAATACTTTCATGTTTTCCAGTCTTTCAGTCTCTACCACAGAGTGAAGACATTCAGTCTATGTTAAATGGAGACATGCAACGTCTCTCTTTCATAGCCTGACTTCCTTCACTCAGCAACAAATCTTCCATATTTGTCCAATTTCTATTAAATCCCAGGACCTTGTTGTTTTTTATGGCTGAATATTCCATGGAGTAAATATGCCACAATTTTTCAATCCAGTCATCTGTTTGTGGACATTTGGGTTGGTTCCATGTCTTAGCAATCATGCATAAGGTTGCAATGAATATAGATGTGGAAGCACTTTTCCGACTGAGAGCTCACTTGTCCTTTGGGTAGATATTCAGGAGTGGAATTGCTGGACCATATGGTATTTCTATGTGAAGGTCTTTGAGGAACCTCCATATCGTTCTCCACAGTGGCTGGATCAATTTACATTCCTACCAACAGTGTAGGAGTGTTCCCCTTTCACTGCATCCTCTCCAGCACTTATCATTATTTGTTTTTTTAATCTTCGCCATTCTGATTGAGGTTAGGTGGTATCTTATTGTGGTTTTGATCTATATCTCCCTTACAGTGAGGGATGTTGAACATTTTTCATATGCTTTTTGGCTGTTTGTATGTCTTCCTTAGGGAGTTGTTTATTCAGCTCATTTTTTCCATCTTTTAATTGGATTAATCCTTTTCTTCCAGGTAAGCTTCTTGAGTTCCCTGTGTATTCTGGTTACCAGTCCCTTATTTGAGGCACAGATAACAAAAGTTCTTTCCCATTCCAAGGGTTGTTGAGTTACAGTAATTACAGTGTCCTTTGCTGTGCAGAAACTCCTTAGTCTGATGTAATCCCACCTGTCTATTTGGGGGATTATTGCCTGTGCTTTGGGGGTCTTGCTTAAGAAGTCTTTGCCTATCCCAATGTCTCCCAGTGTTTTCCACCAGTAGTTTTATAGTTTGTGGTCTTAGGTTTACATCTTTTTTTTTTTTTTTTTGTTAGAGGT